ACATCATTTCTGCTAAACAGCAGCATGTGAGCTCCATGATTCTGAGTGTTCTTCCAGTATTTCAGCCCTCGGAGCTTCTCCAGATGTCAGAATAGCAGAGCTGGTGGTTTCCCTGCTGGCGCTTCAGTTTGTGCATCGATGCTACAGGCTGCTGTGGCTGCTTAATAACGCCTAGCAGCACTCGTACGACGCGTCTACCGGCGGGAGATGATTAACAGTTCAGACGCTCACCTCATTGCTTCTGAATAAGCTGCAGTAGAGCGTCCGCCGTCATCTTTCTTCAAAGCTTCATTACCTGAAGCTCAGAGCGCCACCAAAGCTCTCGTCCGACGCTCCGCTCAGCGTCAGCTCCTCTTTAAACCATCATCAGGCTGAGAAATCACCATTTAGCTCCGTTTTAGGCCTGAAAAGTGCCAACAAATGGTTTGAATTAGGTTTTATTTTGAGTCTTTCTGGTCAGACGTCAAACATCGGAGCCTTTACTTGAGTAGAAGTCGTGAAACCACAGCGGAAAACCCTCAAAACTAGAAGAAATCCAGTAAAAGTATGAATGTATTATCAGGGAAATGGAAATGAAGTCAGTTGAATACTACAAAAATCAGTAATTTAACAAATTCATGCTTAAATTACTATAAAAATAAATAGATAAACAAAGTTTTGCAAACTTTCTGAGTTCTCCTAACAAGAGATAAAACATTTGGACTTTTATTAATATCTGTTGTTTTCAGTGTTAAGATGCACTTAAAGTTAAAATACTGAGGTTAAAAATGAACATTTTGACAGATATCATCCTGAAACTTCTCCAGCTGATGACTTACAATAAGACAAATACGTTTTTCAGAAATTTTACGCTTGAGCAGGCAAATGACTTCAAATATGTAATATAAGAACAGAAATCTGAACCGTGGCTAAAACCGGCTTCAGAACTCTTGAGTTGAAGGTTTTTATGGAGGAGATTTTAGATTTTTCCAAATAACGGCAACAACAAGGGAACAAAAATCCTTTTTCACCATTTTTAGGGACAGAAACGTCCATAAATCAGATCATTTCTACGCTCCGGCTGCTCAGTCCAGTAACTCACAAAGTCCTCGTTGCTTCATCGAGTGTCACGTATGAAAACAAACAGCAGAAGTTGTTCTTTCTGATGAAACTAAAAGTTTCTCTGTGCGACGACTCGGCGTCGAGTAACCTAGTTTGGAAAATATGGTAAAGTTCACTTTGGGTGAAAAACAGACTCAAACCAATGGATTTGCTTTTCGTTGCAATGATTTTAAGTGTAAAATTCTAACATTTATGTTCATGTTTCCTGACAGCAGACAATCTCGTGGACAGAACTTTGAAAACTGAGCAGTTTATGTCGAGATACACATGAAAACATGATCATGATACGAAATGAGCTTTTCCTCGATATAGAGACTCGTATAAAACATCTGCAGGTGTCGTTATGTCAAAGGAAAATCTGATTAGTTGAGACTAAAATAAATAAATCAGCGTGTTTGGTTGGAAGGTGATGAAACCAGCCTGCAAACGGGCCTCACAGGATTCAAGCAAATGATGTTTATGTGAAGTGGTTTTTAAATCTGTTCTCAGGTTTTACGTTTTGCATCCTGGGACAAAGAAATCTTCTCCTGTGCAGTCAGGAAATGATAAATCTTCCTCTTGTTCTGCTGAAGATGAGACGGTTTGATTCTCCTGCTGATCAGGACGAAGGTCGCTGCCTCGACGGTTTTATTCTTCAGTGTTTTTTGGTAAAAGTCAGAAAGATTAAAAAAAAAATCCAAAGCCAGGAGAAAAAGCAAACTCACTGCAGCAGAGCGACTCAAAGCCTCGGCTGCAATTACGGCACCTGGACTCATCCGGTTCGGACTTTAAACCGTCTGACAGAATGACAAGTTTTCAGCAAATGAGCTGGAACTTTTGTTTACAAGTTTAATTGGACGAATCGAGAAGGAAACGCAGCAAAGTTGACTTTTCCTCCAGACGCGGGCTGTAATTACGTTCGGTGTTATAAAACGTCGTAAAAGTAATATTATTCATAGATTTTTTTATTATGCTTTTAGAGTTAGATTGAGGCTATCTATAATTACACCACACAGGAAATAATTGGGTTTCTGTGCGTCAAAGCAATTAAACATCAATAAAGGAAGCGTTTTCATTCCGAGTCCTGCGTCCTGTCATTTGTTTCTGCGTGTTCAAAAACTGCCAGTTCGCTGCTATTAATTGTCACCGCAGACGAAGCGAGCGTTGGTTTGTTTACTGGGGCTGATGCACACGCACACGCACACGCACACGCACACGCACACGCCTCCTGCTCGTCAGAAGGAATCAGCTCGTCAGCGACCGGCCGCTGATCAGCGTCCCGGGTCGATAACGTGTCCTCCGCTCTGTCCTGCAGGAGATCAGCGACACCGAGATCCTGGAGCTGACCCACAGCGCACTGGGCCGCATGACGGTGATCCGGCAGATCTTCCCGCTGTGGAAGGACAGCAGCACCCGGTGCATGAGGCAGAACCACCGGATCTCCTCGCTGCTGTGCGACCCGCAGGAGGGATACCTGCAGAACCTGGAGGTAAAGCAAAAGAGGAAACCCCCCACCCCTAAGATGACTTTATGTTGCTGCTGTCACCTTTTAACTCACTGGAGGTTCATGTTTCTCTGCAACATCAAGTCCTCTGTGGAACCAGAACCACAGGAACAAGGACAGAGAACTCAGAGACGCCTTCTGTGCAAACAATTAGAATGACAGAAATAAGCAAAAAGAATTTCCAAACTTGGTCCAAAACAACCTAAAATGTGTCCAAAATGACACAAAACTTGTTTAAAA